CTCTGTCTCTCTCTCTGTGTCAAAAATAAACATTAAAAAAAAAATTTAAAAACATCAAAGGAAGGGGTAACCTCACGGCTACCATAGGCAGGGACCTTTCTTTACCTCCATCCTGAATGACTACAGAATTCACCGTGGCATCTGACGTCAGACGGAACATATCTCCCTCCTTGATTACAACTTGCTTGGCAGAATCTTGTCCTGGATCCCAGTTCCTGAGACGTGGGTTTTGATCTGGGCAATTCTCTACAAGCAATGCAACATCAGTAGCCATCAATGCAACAAAATTCACGAATGCTTTTAGCCAGGTCCAAGTTCTATCATTTACGGCAATTTGCAAGGGATGGGCGGACCTGTTTTAACTTCCTGCCGTAAGGATGGAAATCCCATCCCGTTTCACCCAGCAGATACGTCAACACATATCTACTTCAACACATTCAAAAAGTTTCACCATGAAACTAAGTCGCTATCATCTGGTTTGGGTCAAACTCTACAAGGTAAACAAGGAGTTCCTCTGAATTATCGACTCTGGAAATAAATGAACAATACAAAACAAAACTGTGAATTGCTCTCAGACCTACACTAGGAAGGTGTTTTAGAAAACCAGTATTCACAACATACTGGTAAGTAAAAATTGGAAACTGCTAATAGGTATATCAGGTCTTCCCAAGTTCCCTGTGCACAGTGAAGCATAGCATAGGCGATAAAAGCACCTCTATCACCCCACAGGCAGCAGCTAATACCAGCTATCTTCAGACATGTGCGCTTTCCCAATGAAACTGCCAGAGGCAGACGGCCAAAGACATGACTTCTCATTTTCAGAGATGAGGAAACTACAGATCAGAGAAGTCAAATCCAAGATGACTCAGCAAGTTGAGTGATATTCAAGTTCCCCCTTAAGAAAGAAATGAGGTTTACTGGACATGCTGTGTTTCTTTACTAAATTAGAATGTGCCTCTCGAATGGGCGGCGAGGAAAACATGAAAGCATTGCAACAGCTATTTAATGCAAGAGAACTTCAGCTGCTGCTATAATTTGGAAGAAGGGGGAGGGAGGAGCAGGAATCACACTGGTTTTGATCAACTAATGACCACATATTTACTGAGGATCAATGTGTTCACTTTGTACTAGCTATTGTAAAATTTATAAAGCAAAGAATGAACTCTATTAAGCATAGAATGAACTGCAAAGGTTATACTCTACTAGGAGAAAAGTCACCAGGTAGGAAATAACTCCATATTGAACAATGTGGTACTCACTTGATGTGCCAATGAGCTCAGAGGGGTTGGCTGGAATAACTGA